AGAGAGGAGGAGAGGGGAGAGCAGCTGGATGACCATAGTGCAGTCGACGAAGAGATCGTAATGGCAAGCTCGTTAGAACCTGACGTCATATTTTGAACATATCATTGATGCATTATAGAAATAAGAGCAAACATCACGATACGCTTATCTTGTGCACCCGTGTTGCTTTTATTCATTTTAATCGTATACCTGTATGACGCAACTCCCGAAAAAACAATGTCTGATGGATGGATTTTAGCAAATAAACATACATACATAATTACATACGCTAGCATATTGATAAACTTCACCCCACAACGCATTGCAACGCAACCCGTGAACGTTTCTTCCTGCTCGGGCCGGTGTGCTTTCGCTGGTTGGGTGCTCACTGCCCATCCAGACCTCTGACCCCCTATCCACTCTCACCTCCGCCGACCCGTCAGGTCACTGACCTCTGACCGCTCCACTCACCCTGACCTCTGCCGATCTGTCGGGTCACTGACCTCTGACCGCCCCTGACTCACCCTGACCTCTGCCGACCGGGGCCGGCCCGTCAGGTCGCAGTCAGAGCCGTTGACATACGTCTGGCTGTGGTAGCGGTGCTTGGCGTGGCGCGACCGGCCGTCGTCGCCGCTCCAGTCGTAGTCCGATTCGAACCGTCCCAGCACGCTCACCGGGCCGACTATCTGGCCGCCTGCGGAACGGTGGGAGCGTCAAATCTGACCGCCTGCGGGACTGTGGGAGCATCAGATCTGACCGCCTAAGTTATCGAGCGAGCATCAGATCTGACCTGTAAGACCACGGGACCACCAACTAAACGGATCTTGGCCCCTAGAAACGTCTCAACGGACCGGGGGGGGGGGGGGTCTTCTGAGGAGTTCGCACACGGTGTGAAGTGCGCTGCGGCGGTCGTTCATCAGCTGCTCGTTAGTCGAGCGACTCACCCTCGAGATGGTACTGCCGGATCTCGGCCATGGGGCAGAGCTCGTAGGTCCACCAGTCGCGGGTACGCTGCAGACACGGCCCGCTTGACATGGGCGCCAACAGGCCTGGGACGCAGACGCCCGGACCGGTCAGAGCGCAGCCGGGCAGGGGACAGGTCAGACGCCGCCGGGACGGGTCAGACACAGAGACAGCCGCAGGGCAGCGTGCGGACTGCCTGATGGAATCAACGGCAAATTACATAACTACGACAGCAGCATGGCAGCGTGCGGACTGTCTGATGTAACTACCGTCAAATGTCATATGGCAGCCGCGGCAGGGCAAGGTGCGCACTCTCTGAACGTTATCACTGTCAAATGGCATACAGCGACAGCCACAAGATGAACTGATGAAACTGAATGAAATCAGTGTTAAATGCCACAAACAGTCACCGCGACAAAGTGCGACTTGGTAAGACTGACTCCCTCTTTCTGGCTGCGGTCAGCTGCGTGTGACCTATGACGCTGGACTCAGTGGCAGAGTAGAGTCACTGAATTAGTCTCCGGGGAAGCCGGGAGTCGTGGGAGACACTGACTAGTCACTGGGGCATTAGGGGAGTCAGTAGTCACTGACTGGGCACGGAGGCCGGGCAGTCGGCGGAGTCAGGGCACTCAGGGCAGTCGGGGAGTCCGTAGAGTCACTGACTGGGCACAGAGGCCGGGCAGTCGGCGGAGTCAGGGCACTCAGGGCAGTCGGGGAGTCCGTAGAGTCACTGACTGGGCACGGAGGCGAGCTGGCCGGCCTCGGCGTCCTCCCTGTGCGGCTGCAGCAGCGCCTCCGTGTCCGGCAGCTGGCACGAGTACGGCTGGCCGGCCCGGTTGTACATCTGCACGGTGCGCTCCCCCGGCGTCTGTCCGCAGCCAAAGCGCCCGTGTCGGAGGAACGGCAGCACCGCGGTCAGAAGTGCCCAACTGGGGTAACGTGCATTACTGGCCAACATACCGACGTAGGTACTGAAGACTCGGCAGTTCCTAGCAGTTCCCTTTACAATACTTTTAATCATTATCTGGCCCACATGCACAGGTTTTCGAATTATTCGCCAAGTGTTTTAATGATTTAAAGCCTCGCCTTGTGAAGGCTGCTATCGCCTAGCGACTTCTAGCTTCACTGGCGCATGCTGATGCAGATTTATTCGTTGGTGTTGCTCGTTGTTTTTATATAGTCCCATGACGAGCATTTGCAGCTTATAGTTTAAAGTGCCTGTCTTCGACCTTACCTCACTGAGGAGCACCGGCTGGTCCGATATGTCCACCACAAAATTCAGCGATTTTATCTCCTCGGCATCAAACACAAAACATTCCGAGCACAGGCTCACTGTACTGAAAATTACCACACTGAGCCAGACTGAGGCCATGCTTCTCTGTCCTCTGAAACAGAATGTTTGTCAGCACTAGTGCACAGATAAAGCAGTCAGGGTGTGTGACTCAGCCCCAGTGTCCCAAAATTATGTTTTGGCTTAGGTGTCAGAGGGAAAATTCCTCTCCAAAAAGGGGGATAAGAGTGGAAAATTCCCCAGTCAGATAAGGCCCAAAAAGAGTGGAAAAGAGATCAATGGCATGCATTTATATATAATGAGGTAAAATGTAATATGTTAAATGACCAATGCAAATGCTTATTCTCAGTAAAGCTGGGAGTGGATAATTGCTCTTAGATATTTAAGATGAGAGTGCAAAATGATTTTTATTTGGATGTCGTTTCCCACCTAAATCGAAATATTTTGGGACACTGCTCAGCCCAGCCCATCATGGTGGGGGGTAGGGGGACTAGGGGGTTTTGATGGCTGACCAGAACTGATTAGTGATTAGGCATCTCAGAAACTAGGGAAGCTAGCAAGACATGGAAAAGGAATTGATATATCTCAATAAGCTCTGAGAGGCTCAGTACTTCGGTCACTTTTCCTTTAAGTTCAATGATGTAGGTCACTGGAATCAGAAAGTTGCAGTGGCCAGCCATGAAGGTATTCTCAAAGTTCAAACACAGCATCCACCACAGTTGGTCCAATTCTACCCTGTACGGTCTCCACTCTCCAGTCACCAGTGACATACACATATCAACATCTTGACATACCAATGCCAGATTCTCCCTTGTGACAGTGAACTGGCAACATCTTCATGAACAGTAGGTACATTAGCATGCTTAACATCAAGCTAATATTGTCATAAGTTGCAGCATATACGAGGCAGCTGATCAATTCAATAGTCAATGGGCTAAAGTGGTGTGGCCAATCCTCATCCCACACAGAGTCTCCTGCCCCTTTCAGTTGACAAGAACATGAGACACCCAATTCCCTGTGTCTGGCTTCATCTGATTTAGCAGTGTGGGACATATTCCAGCCACAGATCTGCGAGTAAGCAACAGATGCAACTCTTCCCCAGTGGCACAAACTCTTGCCACTCTGTGCTCTACCTTTACACCACCAATCACATCAGGTCATCATGAGTCTTTCCTGTCCAGTAGCCTGCTGAGAGCAGCTATATGATAATTTACTGGGAGAACTTCTAAATACAAACTCTGAATGGCTTACCAAGCCTTCATGGCCTTTTCAAATAAATCTAGCTCAAATATTTTAAATGACAGATTGACCAAGATGTAGACCATGCTAAGCAGAGCTTGTCTTGTTGCATAGACCTTGATCCCTACCATAACTTACCAAACGTCTGAGCGCATAATGCCGGCCTCTGGGTGACAGGGGAATTTAAATGTCAAAATTTTAACAAGCCCATCAAAGCTAGAGTCAAGGCCTATCCCACTCAACTGACTTTTATCTGCCAGTTGCCATGGCTGCTTCCACCAACCTCAGAACATTTCTGTCAATATCTCAAATATTGAGTGCTGGAGTGACTTGAACCCAGGCTTTTACTTCCAGGAATCCAATGCTTTATCAACCATAACTAAGCTACAGGACAGGCCAAACTGAGCTTGAGGTACAGGCCTTTCTCATGAGAACTTTGTAATGATGATGATGATGATGATGTCTTCAGGGTACTGCCTTTGCATCAGCACCCCACCAGAACTCCTGGGTTTTGGGCATGTTTTTGGTTGGTTTAGGACAGGTGGGTTTAGGTCAAGGTTACAGCATTAGTAGAGCAGACGTCACATGAAGGTATTCCAACCGAGGAGAGGCACTGCAGGTTTGTAGGTTGTAGGTTTTTAGGTTGTAGGTTACATTAGGTCAGGTTAGGTTAGGTTTGTTTAGGTTTTCCTAGATAGAAAAGAAGCACCTCCGGCCTCAGGGTATGGCACCTCTCCTTGGTTGGAAAACCTTCGTGTGACGTCTGCTCTACTAATACCAAGATTACTTAGGTAGGTATGGTCTGGGGACAACTGGAAAAGTACTGGGAAAGTACTCCACATATTTATCAATGACTGCATCTGTAACTGGGTGTGATACCTGTTAACATTTAGATAAATACATACATACAGTCAGGATGCTGTTATACTGTTATACAGTGGGGTACTGTTATAAATCGCCTACCTTCTACGAACCCTGACCCCGGGGCCTGGAATCCTTAGCCAGCAGCCAGTGACATTCGAAATAAGTGATTGTAGAAGCAAGTTTCCGCAACCTAAAATGCTTGAAGCGCTTGGAGACTGATGAATGTTGATGCCAGAGTATATAGATCACCGTTGATGCAGCACGAGAATTGGATTAAAGCAGCTACAAGCGATTAAACTGGAAATTGGAATAAACCAAAACAAAACAGAAGGTACGGTAAGTACAGGGTCAGGGTCAGGGTACTCAAACTGCCTTTGAATGCCAACATTTTAAACCATGGGTACATCAGAGTATATAGATCACCGTACCAGAGCATATAGGTACGTATCAAACGTATATTGACGCGTATATTCTCCTTTAACATCTAATGCCCTTTCACGGACAAGACAGCGCGCAACCCAAGCAACCACTAAACTAATGGCAGGGAAGTCTCGAAAATCTTTTTCCCCGCGTTCGATGTAACTCGGACGACGAAGGTTCTACGTCGTTCGGCCAATCACGTTCAAGGTCAGCGGGGGCTCGGCTGTGGATATGGAACGTTATTGGCCGGACGGCGTAGAATCTTCGTCGTCCGAGAGACATCGAACGCGGGGCCTAACCCCGATTGAAAAAACTGCGGCATAGATGTCTTTTTTGAAAGATGTTCAGCTGCTGCTTTTTCAGAATGTGCTGCCAATTTTGCCATATATGGAAGACACTTGCTGAAATTATTCAGCCTCTCATTGGTTATCACACACCTCAAGCGAATGTCACCAATGAAAAGCCGAGAACCGGCACCATTCTAACAAAAAAAAGAATAAATGGTCACCAGTCCATCTTTTTGGCCCCGGCATAAGGCACCGGCAGGCAAACATAAGGTATGTACTTACCGTGGATAAAATTGCTGGAAAGTATGTGGGTTTTAGTTACCTTGTATATTTAAATGCACAAATTAGCAAATATCTTTTGGTGTTGTCAGTAGTCACTGTAGGAGCTTGCATTAGTGCTAGAAGCCTGTGATCCAAGCAAGTCAAGTAGGTACCTACCTACCTAGGCACCAACTGAAATTGGCTGATCCTATCCCAATCCAATATCTACCAGTAAAACGCCTTTTGGGCGAAGAACGAGCGAGCGAGATAGTGAGGCCTGCACGTGCGGAAGGGCGATAGGGTACTTCCAAGTTCCAACGGGCTTAAAGCACCCTTCTAACCGGTCGCTAGCGGTGTACCAAATTTGAACGCAATCGGCCCAGCCGTTCCTGAGATCTGGAAGCGGCATTCTGCACGTGCGCACGTGCAAATGGGGTCCAAAATGACTTTTGCACGGCACCCTACTAACCAGTCCCCAACCGTGTACCAAATTTAAGCGCAACCGGCCCAGCCGTTCTCGAGATCTGGAAACGCCCCCTGCACGTGCGCACGTGCAGTAGCACCCTAACCGCAACACATGGGAATGCATTGCCTGGTGGGTACCTGCCTGTATGCCAAGTTTCAGCGAAATCACCCCAGTAATTACCGAGTTACTGAGATGGGAACAAATTTGGCACCTCTTATTGTTGTATTTTGCACGTGCAGTGGGGGTCACTCACATAGATGAAGAGTATCCGACCTTTGGTAGAAGGGGTGCAGCTACCCTATAAAAATGACCGCAAGACAATCGCTCAAGCCGCTGCTGAGATATGGGCTTCTCAAAATCATTACTTTTGCAAAGCTGCTTGAACACCCTTGACTTTTCACGTGGCACGTGCCACGGCGGTCACTGAGATGTATCAAAAGTAGTCAATTACGGGGTAGAAGGGATGGGGCTACCCAGCAAAAAAGACCGCAGGCCATTCGGTCCAGCGGTTGCTGAGATATAAGCCTCTCAAAAGCGTTACAGGCCGGGCCGGGCCGGGCCGGGCCGGGCCGGGCCGCTCATACTGAGATTTTTCCGTTATATTGAAAAGACTTCGCTTCGCTCGCTGCGCTCGCTCGCTCGTAATAAAATTAATGATTCCAGGACAAATCTTCCCACGAAATTTCTTTGTCATGCATTTCTTCATATCCACATTTCTTCATACCTTACTGTCAAGTCGTGTCTTGAATATCAAGTGTTTCGGCACCCGACTGGAAAAAATGCACGCTTTCGTCGAGAACTCGAGCGTAGTTGGGCGTTTGCGCCGAAGTTTTTCGGCGTACTTCGGCGTAAATCGACGGCTTGCGCCGAAATTTTCGGCGTACTTCGGCGTAAATCGACGGTTTTCTCTATCTCTATCGCAAACGGCTCCGGAGCAGTCGCGAAAAACCCGTCAGGGGGTGGCACCAATCCCCCTCGGCCGGCGAGGGTTAAATGTCTTCGGGAGTTAAACATCTTAAATATCACTTATCTTGTCTCGTGTTCGTCTCAGGGTATTTAAGTCATGTTCAGTGAACCTGATTGTGACTCCCACGGCGGGAACAGTTCACCGATCGAGAGTGAGGTTATGGATTGTCGGATCCCCTAGTTCAGATAACGTATGCTATCGTTTGCGTATTGACCGTTGTGATTCCTGTATTTCCGGCGTGTGGTTTGCGAGCGGACGCTGGCAATCGGTCCCGCGTGGCCTGGTATCTGCCCGATCCCATCGGCTGTGCTTGCACCACGCCTGTTGAAGGCCCCGTCAGGCGTCAGTCACCGGCTGGGCACATACTGCTGATCAGAGCCGGGCAACAAAATAAAGGTTACGTTATGGAACATGCCAGTGAGTTTGTGAGTCAGGAGATTTTGTGTTAGCGAACGCTGGTGCTCGGTCCCGCATGGCCTGCTGATGTCTATTGTCTGCCCGATCCCGTCGACCGTGCCAACAACCGTCTGTAGACAGTAGTCACTGAAAGACAGCCACACACACACGCCAGCCCCCCCCCCCTCGACGGAAAGTGCGTGGCTACAGCCTGCAGCCATCAGTAAGCCTTGAAAATTTTCGGCGCATGAAGCATGGCTTGGTAAAATAATTTCGGCGCATAAACCCTTGCGCCGAAATTTCGGCGCATCACCTCCGCCGAGAACTTCAGCGTAGTGGAGGCATTTTTTCCAGTCGGGTTTCGGCAGACTTCAAGTTCAGCAGGTAGAGCGTTCGTTGTCGTTGATGATGTCGTTGATGATGCGGATGCTGAAGCTGCTTCATTGAGTGTCACCATAGGCGGCGGAACGGAGGGGGGCACCGTGCCCCCTTGAATTCTGCAAGGGGGCACCAATAGCAAGGTGCCCCCCTTAAATTTGATGTTTTAGTACCAGAGGCGGATTCGGGAAAACTCAGAGGGGAGGGTCATGAATGGAAGTGGTGCCCCTACCTAGTACCTATGCCCAAAATTAAAATCGCAACGGATTTCGGCCACTTAGGGCCTGTTCCAGCGCCTCCAGAAACCTCCAGAAACCTCCAGAAAGCTCTAGAATCCTCCAGAGAGCCAATGCTGAGCCATAGGAACCCGGTGGATAAAGAGTAGGGGACCATCAACCTGTACACAATAACACGACTGTACCTACCTGTCATCCGCCTCTGACAGCTTCGCAACATGTTACGAAGGCACTAAAACTACTTCGTAAATGTTCAAATGGTTGCTAAATTCGAATTCAGCTCCAAAAACTAGCCTAGAAACATGTACAACTCGAAAAAGTGAACCGAGGTCACCAAAGGTCAATGACCTGACCTGACCTTCAGGTGACCTTGACACCCACCCAAATGCATGGGAGCAACATCAAATCACATGTTTGAACGTTTGAAACCACGAAAAGCTTGCAAACGCGAAGCTAATGCGAGCCGACATACGCCGAATCGCGATTTCGGCCAAACATGGTCACGGAAGAGGTCACAGGCCAAAGGTCATTGGGGTCAGGGTCATGAAATTTGGAGGGTAGGTGTAAAATTGATCAATGCGAGGGTACTGAATGTTTCGTCGCGTTCGGCCGCTTTTTACGCGAGTTATTCACGAAAAAAAACCTTAGGGGGGTTGCATCAACCCCCCCCCCCCCTGTGCCGGCAAGGGTTAAAATTCTAGTGGAGATATCTTTAGGTGCCTGAAAAGATCCTTTGTGTGTTTCAAGGCCATACATTGCACTATTATGCCTTATAAAGAACTTGCATATTGCATAATTAAAAAAGGGTTCTGGCGAATTCACCTTCTTCTGCTTCTTTCGCCAAAAGCTCTAGTCTTAAACAGGAATATGGTCTTTTTGTTCTACAGAAACTGATTTTGAAAGGTCAATGAGAGTAGGATCGCCAAACAAAGAGATGCAGGGAATGACGTTTTGAGCTATGCAGCGTCAACTCGGACTCCGGGAGTCGGGGTCGGAATTTTTTGGCGACTCCGACTCCGACTCGGGGCACAACTGTCGACTCCGGGCGACTCCGACTCTGACTCCGACTCTGCAGCCCTGCTCACAGCAGCACTCAACCAGTGTGTAATGTAATCCGCATGTATTTGAGTTGTCTATGTCTGGTTTCTTTTCAGAGAAAAAAATGCTGTCCCTGAAATCATTCCGCACTCTTCTCTGCCGTGTTCAGGCCACTGCCTGCAGGACCTTGACAAGTAAGACCCTCGATCAAATTACACAGGCAGATGTTTTGAAATCACCCAATCAGGCTACAATAGGCCAGTGGTGGGCACTTCGATAACTCGTATCGATAACGATTATCGAAATCGATATCGACGTTAACGTGTTTTCAAGTTTATCGTTATTGACTATCGTTATCGAAGTAGCGATATCGAAGTCCCCGTTTCGGTCAATCGATAACGATGACTTCATCAAATACGACGCGAGCATCTTAAAGAAAATAGTTCACCTTCAGCATTAGGTTTTGAACTCAGAACCGAGATAGCAGTTTTTTAGATTGATAAGATATTCAAGTTTTTGTTTGTAGTTTGTACGCTTGTCTGTTTATTTGTAGGAGAAAATAATATCTGGGTAATACCGGTGTTGTATGATCGAATGGGCTAAATATTAATAAGAAGCTTTTTCTTTTCAAATATTTTATCCTTTAAATTTCTTTCTTTTTTGAAGTTATCGTTATCGTTTTGGCTATCGTGTTGTCGAAGTGACTGATTTGGTTATCGAGTTATCGTTATCGAAGTCCGGGTCAAGTTACGAGTGCCCACCAGTGCAATAGGCCAGGATATATTGAGTAGGTACCTACAATGGGCTGGCTTTGTCCACATATCTGTGATGTGTTGGTAGCACATGTGCTGGATGATACCTAATGTGTCACTGCATTACAGGTTCATACTTCAAGTGCTGGACAGGCTGTATAGATTTGTCTGATTTGGCTTACATGTTGATCATTGTTATAGAATTGTTGACTGCAGATAATGTTAAGCAGGCTAGCATATTTGACAGGCGTATAATACAGGTTCTGGGATTCATGAGCAAGTAGGAGAGGCATTATAAACAGGATGCTATTTGTCTCTAGCATATTATGTAACATGGTATTAAGTAGTGATGTCAGTTACGGAAAATCGGAATACCGATACCAAACCAACCAAAACCGTAGAGAAATAGCGAAACCAAACCAACTTGGGAACATGAGGGAATTACCAACTTTTTACCGATTTCTTAGCCTCTTATACAGTAGTGGGGGTTCAGGATACCAACAAAATACCAAACACATTAGGACTGAAATACCAAATACCTGCTCCCTCCAACAGGGCGTGGATTTAAGTGGGTACAGTTCCTCGCGTGCCCATCACTTAAGTAAAAAGCAAGGTGTTTGCGCATTGTTGCCAATGCCTAACGTCGTGTCCGTTTCAGCTTCAGGAAGTCAACCCAGAAATGCCAAGGTTGGATTCATCGGCCTGGGGAACATGGGAGGACCAATGGCAGAGAACCTCCTCAGCCAGGTAAGATTCCACTAAGGTAGGTATCCTGTCATCAATCAGTCAGGCTCTACATGCCTGCACCGTCAGCACATAAACATTTTCCGGTGGGGCCTAGACGAAGTCGGACTCCAATTTCCCAGTTCCCGCCTAGCATTCAAACACTCGGTTGTGTTCCATTAGCCACCGGGTGTCTGTATGACGTCACGCCCGCCGTGTTCCAGGGCCTCCGTGTGTCTGTTTGACGTCACATCCGCCGTGTGTCTGTGTATGACGTCACGCCCGCTGTGTTCCAGGGCCACCAGGTGTCGGTGTATGACGTCACACCCGCCGTGTTCCAGGGCCACCGGGTGTCTGTGTATGACGTCACACCCCGCCGTGTTCCAGGGCCACCAGGGCCCTGTTTCACCGGTGATAGCAGCACGCTGCTATCACACGTGTCAAATTGGGTTTCCATGGAAACATCTACAAACCATGGCGTCGTCAAACTGTGTGATGTCATCAAATATTGCTGCTAACATCTTCACGGCCGTGCGAATGTATCAAACGCATTCAACGAGACAGCAACTCTGTTCCAAACGTAGCTATGAAAAAGCTCACGGATTACACGAAACGTCATTAGTGTGAGGTCATCACATTACGTCAGCTCGCGCAATTTGATAGTAGCGTGCTGCTATCACCGGTGAAACAGGGCCCAGGTGTCTGTGTATGACGTGTCCGCTGAGGCGGTGTTGTGTATGACGTCACACCCGCCGTGTTCCAGGGCCACCAGGTGTCTGTGTATGACGTCACGCCCGCCGTGTTCCAGGGCCACCAGGTGTCTGTGTATGACGTCACGCCCGCCGTGTTCCAGGGCCACCAGGTGTCTGTGTATGACGTCACGCCCGCCGTGTTCCAGGGCCACCAGGTGTCTGTGTATGACGTCACACCCGCCGTGTTCCAGGGCCACCAGGTGTCTGTGTATGACGTCACGCCCGCCGTGTTCCAGGGCCACCAGGTGTCTGTGTATGACGTCACACCCGCCGTGTTCCAGGGCCTCCGTGTGTCTGTTTGACGTCACACCCGCCGTGTGTGTGTGTATGACGTCACGCCCGCCGTGTTCCAGGGCCACCAGGTGTCGGTGTATGACGTGTCCGCCGAGGCGATGTTGTGTATGACGTCACACCCGCCGTGTTGCAGGGCCACCAGGTGTCTGTGTATGACGTGTCCGCTGAGGCGATGTTGTGTATGACGTCACACCCGCCGTGTTGCAGGGCCACCAGGTGTCTGTGTATGACGTGTCCGCTGAGGCGGTGTCCCGTCTGGGCGGCCTGGGCGCGGCGCCGTGCCGCACGCCGGCGGCCGTGGCCGCAGCCAGTGACCAGGTGGTCACCATGCTGCCTAACAGCCAGCACGTGCAGGCCGTGTTCGCCGGGCCCGACGGTCTGCTCAGGTGAGCGTCGGGCCGTCGGCCGGCCCAGCTGGAACCGGAGCTGTAACGGGAGCCGTGCCAAAGTAGCACATGACGGTCGCTTTGTATAATTTAGACGTTGCTGGGACTGCGACTGCGCAACATTATTATTCACGATCTCGGCATGTGTTACTTTATTATTTGTCTACGCTTATTTATATTGCGGACACGAACGGAAGTCACTTTCTTGGGCGGCCTTTTTCATGTGTGCTCTGCCGGGCCGTTTCAGCGCGGTGAAGCCCGGCACCCTGATGGTGGACAGCAGTACTATTGATCCCGCCGTCTCCCAAGAGATGGCGCTGGCGGCCAAGGACAAGTCTGCTGTCTACATGGACGCGCCCGTGTCTGGAGGTACGCGAGGGATATGACCTGTCTCAGGGCAGACAGTGGCGACTGTCGGGCCGGGAGGCGCCGCAGGCCGTTTGTCACCCCTTTTTCTAGTCATGGGTTATAACGCTCGCGTTTTATCTGCAACTCATTTTTAATGGCAGTCTTGCAAAGTTAATATCAATTTTCGTGCTGTAGCTAATAGCTGTTATCTTTCACATGACCGCCACCTCCCTCCCCAGGGCCCCACTGACCCCCTTCCCTCCCCTCCCGCTCTGTAGGTGTCCCGGCGGCGCGCGGCGGCACGCTCACGTTCATGGTGGGCGGCCCCGAGGAGCACTTCGCCGCCGCCAAGGCTCTGCTGGAGGCCATGGGCAAGAACATTGTGCATTGCGGCGACGTTGGCATGGGCCAGTCGGTGAAAATCTGCAACAACATGATGCTGGCCATCTCGATGATCGGCGCGGCGGAGACCATGAACCTGGGGGCCCGGTGAGTCGGCGGCAGCCCCCCCCCCGGCCCCCCCGCAGCTCGGCGGCGGGGTACACCCCGCAGACGGCGGGGATCCATGGCCAGCAGACCTGCAGGACTGGCGCTGTTTTATCTGCTTAATTTTGTAGCATTGACGACGTGACTTGAGTTTATTCATTTTCATTTTCACTTCCCAGGCCGTATAGGCTTTTGAGGGACACAGGGACATTTAGTTTGACTTAGTTATGGTGTTTCGATTATCTGCGGCATCTCTCATTTGCACTGGGAGCGTATTGCTAAGAAATGTACCCCTACCCCGATATGTGCCGTCACTAACCCCTCTGCCTCCCGATGTGCCACCACTAACCCCTCCCCCTCCCCCCGCCACAGGCTGGGGGTGGACCCGAGGCTGCTGGCCGGTACCCAGTACCACTAACCCGTCTCCCCCCCCCCCCCCCCACCACAGTCTGGGCGTGGACCCGAAGCTGCTGGCCGGTACCCAGTACCACTAACCCCCCTCCTCCCTGCCACAGGCTGGGGGTGGACCCGAAGCTGCTGGCGGGCATCCTGTCGACCAGCACGGGCCGCTGCTGGGCCATCGACACCTACAACCCGGTGCCGGGCGTGTTCGATAACGTGCCCTCCTCCAACAACTACCAGGTCAGTGCAGTGGCGGCCCCCCGGGCAGTGGAGTGGCGGGGGTACCCCGGGAAGAGGGTCTGAGAGGGCGGACCGTGGGTCAGCGAGGGCCGGCGACCGCGCTGAGAGGACGGACGGTGGGTCGGCGAGCGGGATAGCGGGTCTACATATACCGCTTGATATCTGTCGTGGGGATAGGTACTTTTCCGCGATGTTTTCCACCAGGCGGTGGCGTGCGCGTCGTGGGAGGACATTTTGTTGAGCGTGGTCGACGGCCCCGAAAAAGGATATATTGGAGAACCAGATTAATGACCCCCCCCCCCGTCGGCAGGACCGACTCTGACTAGTCACTGACGTGCCCCCCCCCCCCCCCCCGGTCGTCAGGGCGGTTTCGGCACGGCTCTGATGTGTAAGGACCTGGGCCTGGCGCAGTCGGCGGCGGCGGCCACCGACTCGGCCACTCCGCTGGGCGGCGCCGCGCTGCAGATCTACCGACTGCTCGTCAACCACGGCCTCGGCCAGCTCGACTTCTCGGCCGTCTACAAGTACATCTCGGAGCGCCAGTAGAGGTGGGCGACGACCTCCACCAGTACACTACATAGAGCTGGACGGCGCCCTCCACCAGTACATCTCGGAGCGCCAGTAGAGGTGGGCGAGGGCTCACTGGAGTCCTCCCTCCCCTCTCGCGCTCCCTCCCCCACACAGCGGCGCCAGCACTCCATATATCTGATCCTCTCTGGACTTGACAAACAGCGATACCGTCCAGGCCCGAGGTCGGTCTGCGGCCCTGAGTTCGGGCCGAGGGGCGGGTGTAAGTACGTCCGATTGTGCAGAATTGTGACTGAAGGACAGGGTTCGCCGATTGAAGGACGGCCAGGGAATGTGCTGAACACTGAGCGGGAGGCCACGGCTGGTTCCATCGGTTGTAGGTGGTGCCGACTGCCGACCATAGTTTTGATACCATGTGATTGTCTCGTCGTCTCGGTGGTGGAACTTTTCACGACTCGTCTTATATCGTGGTTCATTCTCGTCCTAGCTGATCTTTGCGCTAGTGTCTCGCTTTTCGAGCGGCAATGGACGGGTAACATCTGTGTTCTGAAATCATGTCCTCTCAGCAGTCTTATAAGTGGATTGTATGTCGGACCTCCGCTACTTTCTTTCATGTGCTGGCAAAATGTTCCTCCATTGAGCATGCGTAAGAAAAGGTAGGCATTGATTAGGTGCACTTCATTACCATTTTCTGACTTGTCAATGATGGGATAAATTCATGAATCTATGTTTGAAGTTGAATTTTAGGCTATTTCGGTAAGTTCTTTTTTGGTGCAATTAGCCTAGGTGTAGTCCGATCCGATTTTTATGCTTTCGTGTATGATCCTTGAAAGTGATATTTGTTTTTGAGACCATCTGAACCAGTGCAATACCAGTGCGACGCGGATTTTGAGTGAAAGCTATGTATGTGTCGAACTAGGTAGTTATAACGATGTTATTCAACGAACAACGCAAAATAAAATAAAGACAATGAACGCCAAAGTCTCTTAGCTTAGACATCGCATTTTAACCCGCGCCCAGATGGGGTCTGCCGAGCAACGCGGTCTGATGGGGGGGGGGGGGCCATTTTGGCCCCCCCTCAGATCTCGAGAACCACGCAACATAGCGACAAGCGGTAAACGGTGTTGGATAGCCCCAACGGGGAACTACCTTGTGACCCAATTTCATTGACCTCGGTCAAACCGATGACGTCACAGGTCAGGTCAAAGGTCGAATTTTCACCGTTTACAGGCATTTCAAGAAATGCGTTGTAAAATCGAGTAAAATGCATTTCATTGAAAATTATCGATGGGGAAATGTTCTTCAAACACATATTTTGCTATTTGAGGTCACTGATACCAGGTCAGGTCACAGAGGTCAGGTCACTGGGGGGTCACAATATGAAAGTGTCATGTGACACATGTTTTATGGTCCATTTTACATGACAAATGCGATTATGTGGGTCAGACAGACTTTAGGGCCAGCTTAGGTCACGTTTTGGTCAAGGTCAGGTCAAGGTCAGGTCAAGGTCAGGTCAAAAAAGGTCAAATTTCAAAGTTGATATTTTTGCATAAAATGGGTATCGATTCGATGCAGCTCGTCACGGGGAGTTCAATGGTGGTCTCCGTTTTGCGCTACGAGGTCTAGCAATGCTAAAAATTGAGTTCAAAAATTTGACGTCATCAATTTTTAACAGTTTTTTCGCTATAACTTGGCCAAAAAAAGAGGTATCGATCTAAAATTTGGTATGTATATCGAAGAGCGCAGGGACTATCACATATATTCCGGTTTTTTCGAAATTCGAAAATTTTTTGGAATTTTTTCGAGTTTTTCTAAAAAAATCAATTTTTTTGATTTTTGGGGGTCAAAATCCCAAAATTTCGAAAATCCGAGATAGCAGTTTTGTAGCGCCGTCTTTTCTCTACACAACCACATAAAGAACTTTAAAATTGCTTGTTAACTGTAGAATTTGTGAGCGTTTAAAGATGTCATGTTTTTTGCTCATTTTTGCTCGAACATGACCTCAGTTTGACCTCAATAACTCCTGACCTGAGGTGACCTGTGACTTGAAATTTTGTGTGACGGTGTCAAATTGATGCCCGGTAAGGTACCCAAAATTTGGCGGCGCTGCGCGCCGCCGTTTTTTCGCTATTTAAGAAAAACCACAGGGGGGGCCAAAATGGCCCCCCCCCCCCATCAGGGCGCGGGTTAATTTTGATTGACAATGATGTTGCGTTTGAAGGCATCACTGAGGGCTATTAAAAGAGTTAGATTTTATCAGCTTGCCCACAATTTCAAAGAGGCATTTTGTTTGCTTCCGCGTAGGCTCTGCTCTGCCTGGGCATCTTCTCTGGGATGCAACACGTAGGGCCTGATATATGCAGCCAAATCCATATTAAGCGTTTATTCGGTTTATTGGTCATATCAAGGTGCAGCAGCAACCTTTCCGCCTCAATAATGTTTAGCATCACACCCCATCATTTTCCCCAGCGACTTACTCAGTCGCGCACAGTGACTTACTCAGCCGCGCACTTATGAGTTCAGTTCATGCATGGCTGCACCAGCAGTTCGGCTACTTGGCTTCACGGACCAGCGGGCCAGCGCCGGCTGCTGTGCTGCCTATACCTGGCCTGTCGGCGCCGGCCGGTGCCTACAGGTCCGTCTGCCTACGGTTCTGCCGGCGCCGGCCGCCGTCTACAGGTCCGTCTCGATCACTCCGCTCCGGCTCGCCTTTTCTGCTGTGTGGTCGGCGGCGGCCCAGGCGGGCCGCACGGCCGTCCTCCTCAGCGCCTCGGCGGCGGTGAGGCAGAGGTGGTCGGCGCCCGGCCCGGCCACCAGCTGCACGGCCAGCGGCAGGCCGTCGGCCGTGCGGCCCCAGGGCACGCCGCAGCCGGGCAGCTGCAGGGCGGCCGCCAGCAGCGCCGGCACCGCGTCCAGCGGTCTCAGCAGCCGCTGGGCGGCCAGCGGCGCCGGCCCCGGGTGCGCCGGCAGCAGCAGCACGCCGTCGGCGCCCAGCAGCGCCACCAGCCGGCGGCGCAGCAGGCGAGCCTGGCGCGCGCCGCGCCGCCCGCCGCCGCTCAGCAGAGCAAGCAGCCGCGCCGGCGGCGGCAGCGTGCTACAGTCGCCCTCCCCGGACAGCCGCGAGCGCACGATCTCGAACAGGTGCGCCGTCTCTGGCAGCTCGGCGGCCGTGACGGCGGCGCCGCGGCCGCGCAGCGTGTCGGCAGCGCTGTGCAGGGCGGCGCGCGCCTCGCGCGTGGCCACAGAGGTGACGAGCAGCGCCGGCAGCTCGGCGGTGAAGACGCGCAGCCGCGCCACGGGCACCAGCTCGCGCAGCCGGCCCCGCTGGACGGGCCCGCGCGCCAGCAGCCGCAGCGTGGCCCGCAGGTCCTCGGCGTGCCGCGCCACGACGCCCACCTGCGGCTGGTGCGGCACCGGCTCGGACGCCGCCGGGGCCTTCTGCGGCGGGGGTTTGAATATGCCGTCGGTGTTATGGTTGGCGTCTGTCGTGCTCAGGTTATCGGTGGACCTCATTTTCTGTAGGATCAGCTCGTCTGCGGTCTGATCGGCTGGTGGCGGGGGCACGGCACTGGCGGCCACCGTCCGGGATGACGCCGTGTGGCTGAACAGGCCGCAGTGGGCTGCCGGCACCAGCAGCGTGGCTCCGACTCCGAGCGCCAGCGGAGTGGCCTCGGCCGCCACCAGGGCGGCGCCACCGTCACCGACCACCCGCCGCACGTCGTGGGGCAGCCGGACGTCGCCCTCTGCGGCCCACCACTCGGCGGGCGCGGCGGCGCGCGTGGTGGCCAGTAGGATGGCGCCGGCGGCACGCAGCGCGGCCACGGCCTCTGAGTCGGCCGGGGCGGCGGCGCCGCGGCGCACACGCAGGCCGCGCGCCGCCACCGTCTCCTGCACGGTGAAGGGCACGCCGAGTAGCGGCCGGTGCGTATACAGGTGCGTCACCAGCGCCCAGTCCCGCTCTCGGCCGTCGCGCCGGCTGGGCGGCAGCTCGGCACGCAGTCGCGCCAGCTCGGCGTCGGCGGCACGCGCCTCGAGCAGCGCCTGTTGGAACCGCTCCTCGGCCAGGCCGTGCAGCTGCGGCTCCACCTGGCGGAGGCGCGCGATGCACGCGGCCACCGTCAGCTGGCTGGTCAGCTGGCCGGTGCGGATACGGTGCGCCAGCCGGCCGGCGGACAGGGGGAGCGGCGCGGCCGGCGGCGGCAGGCCCGGCGGCGCCGGACGCTGCAGCTGCTCCAGCGGCGCGTTGAGCGCCAGGTCGGCCAGCTGGCGGCCCACGTACAGCAGGTAGAACACCAGCTCTCGCAGCAGCAGCGCCGCGAACGCCGCGGCGCGCAGCAGCTGCGGGCGGACCGGGGCGTCAGGGCGGGGCCGGCACCGACAGGCGGACGGCGGGTCAACGGGGGTCATCGAGGGTCACATTTTTCCTGATATTCACGTTTTTGACAAATCGTTTGATAACTCATGAACCAAGCCTCGCCCCGCTGTTGTATATCCAGGCGACCGTCACCCTGATCAATCGCTGAAAGATTCAAAGCAATCTTTCATCGGCATAGCTATTGCGAGCAGCCATACCGTAGTTTCGTGCAACTTTGGCCCTCTTTTTTGGTTAAGCCTCAATAACTTACTTATCTGTTTACGTACAATGTTAAGCAACAGGGCCTAGATAGAAGCGACCCTTGGCTTTTCGAAAATGACAAATTCGTGTGTGCTGCAACACTGCACACTTTTCAAAATGCTAGTGGACAATGTTGTATGCTAGTATATGTAGGTAGGTATGGAAACTTCGGCCCAGCAAAAGTATTTATTTAAAATTTATGGTTTCCGCCTTCTAATTTTTTGCTCACTTTTGCCGAGCGCATGACAACATTAGCTATTTACCCGTTAGCTGGTACCCGTTTCTAACCCGCGCCAGGCCGGTGCTCTGAGATTCCGCGCCGGGCCGGGGGGGGGTGGTGTCTGAACACCCCCCCCTTCTAACTCGGCTCCTGGGCCACGTAGCGACACGCGGTAAGCGGCAATCGAAAGAACGTCCAAAATAAGGACGAAAACACTTCGGTCATTTTTTGGGTCTGGTCAAAGGTCAGGTCACCAGAGGTCACCAAAGGTAAAATGTTGACTATTTCAACATTTTGGAAACTGCCAACGGCTATCTCGGGAACCGATAGAGCTACAGCGCCGCGGAAAAGCGCATTCGATACCTAGCCCTTTTACAGACCTCTCTGTGTAATGCTCTCAGATTTGACCTTAGGTCAACGGTTTAGCCTCCAGAGGGCAAAAATTCCAAAAATAGCCGTTTTTACGAAAAGTGTTTTTTCGGCAATAACTTTTGACTCAAAAGAGCCCTGACAGTACCTACTTTTGCCAGAATCGTATTTCTCTCGTCGAGACGCGTCGAATGAACTATAATTTGACCTTGCAAGGTCAACTTGAAAATTTGACCTCAGGTCAAGGTCATGACCTGACCGGAAAAGGTCATGTGGCATATCAGTCGATCTGCAACGTCGAGCCGAACACATCTAAGGCGTTTTCAGCGCTCTAGCACGCCTCTATCAGAAGTTATTAGCGAAAAACTGTTAGATTCTGTTCGTGACCTGAGATGACCTCGGGGACATAACGAGGGGTCACAGTTGCCATTTTCCGGTTCACTGTGTCAATTTTACCTACATCTCGATGTTTGAAAGTGTCTAGAATAGCGTTCGTGCAAAACAGACGCTTTTCAATTTTCTCCCATTGACTTAAGTACCTACCTATAATGGAGAGGCCACAAAATTGACCTGACCTTTGGTCACCGATATCAAAATTCCGAGATATACCTACATTTTATAGATACCTAATCTTGCTCTTATCAATCGCTGAAAGTTTCAAGGCAATCGATCAATCGGTGTGGCTATGACGAGCATCCTTATTTTTTTCTGAGGTGAGGTCACTTGGCGTGACCTGGTGACCTGACATAAGGCGACCTGGGTCTGAAATTTTCACAACATGTGCGGAAAAGATGCACGAACAGGTGTGCCAAAAACGGCTGCGCTCCACGCCGCCGTTTTTTGAGATATCTGCGAAAAACCGCAAGGGGGATGTTCAAACCTCCCCCCCCCCTTGCCCGGCGCGGGTTAAGGTCTCCGGTCAACCGGTGAGCTCTGAGGCCAGGTCATGTGACCCAAAGCACGGGTTCAGTTTTTCATAAATAACTTCGCAAAAAAAAACGGTTGCATAGCCGCGATTTAGCATCATCGTGTTTGCCTCGCTCAGGCGCGTTGAATGGTACCTATATTTTTTGTTCGGATGAGGTCAACTTGAGGTATTAACCACGGGTCAAGGACAAGGTCAGGTCAGTGCCCCAGGTCACGAAGCTTGTCGAAGGAGGTCGTGTTGCATACCTATCATTCGATTCGGCAGGTCTTTCTGAGTCCATTGGCGCCTTCCCCGACTCGCCAGTTCAATTTGGTCGGGAATTGATGACGAAAAAAACTTATGACCCAAGTGACGTCATAAATGACGTCACGCAAGGTCAATAATGCAAAAGTGAAGCATTGAACCCTGCAAGGAGTAATTGAAATTACGATTCCGACGTACTTTAGATCGTGCCTGGCGCCAAAATGGCAGTTTTCATTTTTTCCCGTTTACTTTGGTGAGGTCACGTGACCAATGACCACCTGACCTCAGGTGACATTTAGGGAAAATCCTAGATATAGGGGAGAGTGGGGAAAGATGCCCAGGGTTTTGCTATGTCATAGATTGTTCGAAAATGACGATCGGAAAGCAAAAACTTGGAGTTTCAACGGAAGCCGACATCATTTTTCTCCAAAAATATCACAGTTTCCTGCCTGAAATATGATAACTTTTTTTTTGCTATGAAGCATTTTCCTGAAGAAGTGAAAGGGGGCATCTTACCCCACAGGGTGGGAAAGACGCCCCTTGGCGTTGGGGAAGATGCCCCCCTGCACTATAAGTGACATAAATGGGCACGTGAATCGCCTGAACGAATCAGTAGTCCCTTCGAGCCTGCAGTAGACACCAAACGTCATCGTAAGGGCCCTCAAAAGTAGTCGTAAGGGGCTTCAGAGGTCATCGTTAGGGCCATCATAGTCCCGCGCGGCCAAACAAGCCTCCGTGGTGGCGTTCGGAGACCACTGTGAGGCCCTTATAGGTCTTCATGATGCTTGAGGGCCCTCGAGCCCATCGCGGGGACCTCAGATGCCAGCGCGGCCCATGGAGCCAGCGTGGGAGCCCTCAAAGGATGTCGTGAGGGGCCCTGGAGCCAATAATGGGGCCCAAAGAGACCCTCGTGAGGGCTCTCAGAGTCAGATGCCGCCCAAAAAGTCGCTGTGTGGGCCGAGAGACCGGGATGGGGAGCACCCGACCGTACTGGACTCTCAATAGTCCCAGATCGGCTTTTGTCTCTCATCACAAGTATGTAATAAATGATTTGACGGGCTGCTTGAAGGACAGCCTACGGATTTAGGGGGGCGTCCAGGGGCGTAGGCAGGGGGGGGGGCACTGGGCCATGGCCCCCCCCCCCCCCCTTGGGCGCCGAAGGCGCCCTTTGCGATTGTGATATAATCGAATCGAAAAACAATCGCGACTGGAGGGCGCCCTCCAATCGCGAATGTGTTTACAGGGAAAATACGGATGGAGGGCGCCCTCGGAGGACGCCCATTCCAAATACGCCCTCCAAATACGGTTGGAGGGCTCCATCGGGCGCCCTCCAACCACATTTGTAGGCTGTAGCTCTCTAAGCGTAACGGTGGTCGCCTATGTAAGCCGCTGTCCCGTAAATAAGCGCCCTCTCACCCGAAGGCGCCCTCCTGTAGGTCGCCACCCTGCTACATATTGCCGCCCTTCTGCTGATCGGCGTCCTCATAATTATTGGCGCTCTCCTACCTATTGCGCCCTCATGTGAAATTTTCAAGGCCGCCTTTCTCCTTTTTGGCACCCTATTGTTCAGTGCCGCCCTCCTACCTATTGGTTCCCTAGTCCTTCCTGTTGAATGTTAACCCGCGCCCCGTAGGGCTACCGGCGGACCCTACCACCCGTAGGGGGGGGGGCCGTTTCGGCCCCCCCCCCCTAAGATCTCGGAAAGTTACCGGCCGATTTTCAAAATTCAAACGGCGTTCGATAGCCCCACCCGGGAACTACCTTGTGACCAAATTTCATTGACCTAGGTCAAACCGATGACGTCACAGGTCAGGTCAAAGGTCAGATTTTCACCGTTCACAGGCAAGTCAAGAAATGTGCTGTGAAAGCGAGTAAATTGGTAATTTATTGAAAACCATCGATGGTACATTGTTCGTCAAACACATACTTTGCTATCTGAGGTCACTGATACCAGGTCAGGTCACAGCGAGGTCAGGTCACCGGGGGTCACAATATGAATGTGTCGTGTGATACATGTTTTATGGTCCATTTTACATGACAAATGCGATTATGTGGGTTAGGCAGCCTTTGGGGCCAGCCTAGGTCACGTTTTGGTGAAGGTCAGGTCAAGGTCAGGTCAAATTAGGTCAAATTTCAAAGTTGATATTTTTGCATAAAATGGGTATCGATTCGATGCAGCTCGTCACGGGGAGTCTAATGGTGGTCTTCGTTTTGCTCTACGAGTTCTAGAATTGCCAAAAATTGAGTTTGAAAATTTGACGTCATCATTTTTGAACAGTTTTTTCGCTATAACTTGGCCAAAAAACGAGGTATCGATCTGAAATTTGGTATGTGGATAGAAGACGGTAGGCACTATCACATATATTCCGGTTTTTTCGAAACTCAAAAAACTTTTTGGATTTTTTGGCGAATATATCCAAAAAAATGCTTTTTTGATTTTTGGGGGTCAAAACTCAAAAATTTCAAAAATTCGAGATAGCAGTTTTGTAGCCCTGTCAATTCTACACCTTTTATGTCTTGATCATTTTTCTGTATCTTCAAAGCTGTAGTCCTGACAGGTCTTCTCGCGAAGGTCTTTTTTCGGTCGAAAATGACAGAACATGACGTCACTCTGACGTCATTTGTGGCCAACCTATCATAGCCTCTGGAAAAAATTTTTGGTCACAATGTGTAAAATTGATGCCCGGAGGGGTCCTGAAAGTTTGGTGGCGATATCTCCAGCCGTTTAGGAGATATCGACCGAAATAGACAGGGGGGGGCCGTTTCGGCCCCCCCCCCTACGGGGCGCGGGTTAATCGGGGCCCTTCTCTTATTGGCGCCCTCGTGTTGATCGCCGCCCTCCTAACCACTGGCACCCTCCTGTTGATCACCGCCCTCCTATCCACTGGTACCTTCCTGTTGACCAGCGCCCTCCGCACAGACGCCCTCCTGTTCGTGTCATCCTCTTGAGCAAAGGCGCCCTC